ATCATCATCATCATCATCATCATCATCATCATCATCATCAGCAGCAGCTATGAAAACCGCGTACTTGCCGTACAGTAGTTATACCTGTCACAGCTTCGTTCACCGATGATTTGGAGTGGGCTGGGGTAAACAGCTTCGCATTGGATGTGGTAGCTGATCTAACTGATGCGTAAATATAGGGGTGTCAGTGGACGTTTCATTGTGGAGGGCAACAGTTTGGATGCGTGTGCGCTATTAAGGGCTCGGTGACAACTCTAACAACTGATGCATCCCGTCTACGGATCCCCGCCCAGGGGCACGGCAATGACCAGCGCATCTGAGTTGGCGATGTGCGGACAGTGACTTGCGCTTGTAATGGTATATCAGGAGATGTATACCGCTTGAGGGCCCTGGAGACACTGCTGGTTGGTCGACAAGCAGAATTCTACATACTCAAGGAACCGAAGGATTTGGCCGTCAATTTAGACGAATTCGAGCAGCCTTATTATCAGAGCTCTTAATGGAAGATGACCGGAGAAAGGACAACAAAGACTTTGTCCTGTAGAATACAACCTGGTTGCAAACGCAAAGTTGCATTATCATCACTCATCGTGACAACTATTTTGAAGCAATCGTATTGGCAAAAATGCGATTAGGACGTGACCAGTTTATCAAGAGCCTGCAAAACATATATAGGGGAAATATGGAGGCCGCACTTACACTCTAGGTGTACGAAGCGATTATGGTACTGGATGCGCAGCGTTCGAGGTTGAAAGTGAGTTGGGGAGAAGAATGCCAAATTGGTGGGGGGGGGAGAACATTGCAGGTTGGTAGTCCAGACTTGAAGAGAGATAAGTGTGATAAGTACATCAACGAACATCCGCTAAAGAGGCTAATGGATACCGTTTGTGGCAGGCAGCTCGGACTATCCTGAACTAATACAGCCGAAAGCATGCATGAAGAGGCGCTGGAGTCGAATGAACACTAGTTCTGCATCGTGATAGGCCCCGTGCAGCAGATTATCGAAAACTGTCAAACTAATGCGCATATACCGCGATTCGAAGTTTCATTGAATGGCAGGACCCGAAGACAAGCATGACATTCGGACCGACATTCGGAAACGACACATGTTGTAGGTTACTCTTGGTTTTTGCTAGCACTAAGTTCCTTCCTCGTCCACCTTCATTCTTTTTCTCGCAATAAGGCTTTCAAGTGAATCATGGCTGTACGACAAGAAGCATCGATGTTGAACACTGATGTCATGTTATCGATGATAATGACGATGATGATCTGATCATACGATAGTCGCATGAACTCTGTAATGCCTTTAGACGGATGAGACCCGGCGTAAACTCAGGTGTCACCAGCCAACCAACGAGTTCGGTAGGAGGTAAAGCACCGCTCCTTGAAACTACGGACAGTGTTGCACTAGGTCAGGTTGATGTTTCGAGTGGACGTTGTCAACTCTATCGAGGAAATCATTTGGTCCTTCCAAAACTACAATGCTCTGAATTGCGCTTCACTATCTCACCAGATGACAAATGTCTTGGATTTTGGCGATCCAAACCTACAGTAATTGCCTTAAGGAAGCCCCTACTTATGAAGCCACAATGATTTGGATTGTGTGGCGTACTCGAACGTTTCAACGTCTCTGGGATGTAATTAAAAAACTATCATCCTTATTCCAGAGGAGCAGTTTCGAGTGCCGTGGGATTTTGCCATCCCAGTGTCTGTAAAAGGCAGACCTGAGTGACTACGAACTACTTATTTCTTTAAGTAGCGGATTCACAATGCACGATAAAGTAGATCACAGTGTAAATGTGAACCGAGAACTCAAGGCGGTTCACATAATTTCATGTGGGATTCGAAAGCGACATATAGCTAGCTAATCCCACGCTAAGGTTTTTGAAATTTTGATCGGTGCGAGTAAAAGTCTTGAAATTACGTCGTCCACGATTTTTCATTTCCGTTTACTTGCTGCGGACAGTCGCGAATTGTTTGGGGGGTCTCCTGGAGACAGTTGTTAGTGCACATGCTGGAAGAACAACAGATGTAAGTGCCGGGTTTGGGTGGTGGACCTGATTTTGGGAGGTTTACGTTTGTGTGCTCTGCTGGGTTGAATGCTGGGGAGTTTCTGTGGTATCTAGGCGGCTTAAAAGAGGACAGTCAGATGCCCTGTCTGGAGGGTAGTTACCCATGGGAATTTTACTGGTTCAGGTGAAAAATTCTGATGAAATGTGACTCCCTTAGTGATATTATTCTTATTCAAAGTGATCTTGGATCTCTAACTAGGTACAAGTGGCAACCTCAGAACCAAACTGTCTCAGTTCTTGTAACCTCCACTTCAGTTTTATGGTATAAGCCCCCCCCCCCCTAATTTGCTAGAAAAGGGTGAACTTCATAGTCGTTGTTTGGTGCAACTGTCAATTCATATTTACCGTTTCATGAAATTTATCTAAAAATTTTTGTTCAGAGACGTCCAAAACATAATAAACTTCATTTCCGAACGATAGTCGCATGAACTCTGTAATGCCTTTAGACGGATGAGACCCGGCGTAAACTCAGGTGTCACCAGCCAACCAACGAGTTCGGTAGGAGGTAAAGCACCGCTCCTTGAAACTACGGACAGTGTTGCACTAGGTCAGGTTGATGTTTCGAGTGGACGTTGTCAACTCTATCGAGGAAATCATTTGGTCCTTCCAAAACTACAATGCTCTGAATTGCGCTTCACTATCTCACCAGATGACAAATGTCTTGGATTTTGGCGATCCAAACCTACAGTAATTGCCTTAAGGAAGCCCCTACTTATGAAGCCACAATGATTTGGATTGTGTGGCGTACTCGAACGTTTCAACGTCTCTGGGATGTAATTAAAAAACTATCATCCTTATTCCAGAGGAGCAGTTTCGAGTGCCGTGGGATTTTGCCATCCCAGTGTCTGTAAAAGGCAGACCTGAGTGACTACGAACTACTTATTTCTTTAAGTAGCGGATTCACAATGCACGATAAAGTAGATCACAGTGTAAATGTGAACCGAGAACTCAAGGCGGTTCACATAATTTCATGTGGGATTCGAAAGCGACATATAGCTAGCTAATCCCACGCTAAGGTTTTTGAAATTTTGATCGGTGCGAGTAAAAGTCTTGAAATTACGTCGTCCACGATTTTTCATTTCCGTTTACTTGCTGCGGACAGTCGCGAATTGTTTGGGGGGTCTCCTGGAGACAGTTGTTAGTGCACATGCTGGAAGAACAACAGATGTAAGTGCCGGGTTTGGGTGGTGGACCTGATTTTGGGAGGTTTACGTTTGTGTGCTCTGCTGGGTTGAATGCTGGGGAGTTTCTGTGGTATCTAGGCGGCTTAAAAGAGGACAGTCAGATGCCCTGTCTGGAGGGTAGTTACCCATGGGAATTTTACTGGTTCAGGTGAAAAATTCTGATGAAATGTGACTCCCTTAGTGATATTATTCTTATTCAAAGTGATCTTGGATCTCTAACTAGGTACAAGTGGCAACCTCAGAACCAAACTGTCTCAGTTCTTGTAACCTCCACTTCAGTTTTATGGTATAAGCCCCCCCCCCCAATTTGCTAGAAAAGGGTGAACTTCATTTCATAGTCGTGGTGCAACTGTCAATTCATATTTACCGTTTCATGAAATTTATCTAAAAATTTTTGTTCAGAGACGTCCAAAACATAATATAATAAATTTCCGAAATCGTGTATTTACAACGCCTCCATGTAGAGCTTGGTTGACATTTTGATGGTGCCCACTTGATCCGAATTCGAATAGTCTTAGTGGGGAATAATTCATAAATTTTTGAAGTTTTTGGCATGATTATTGCAACATTCCTGGTCTGTGTCACAAGACGGCGTTTCAAAACCTAGCTGAGCAAGTTGGGAATGCTAAACATAGAGTACTAAAATGCTGTCTAGGCTCATACACCTAAAGCTCCTTCGAGATTCAGTCATCTGGCTTGCATGCCATGACGAAGAAGCTTTGTTCTACTTGATGAGCAAGTCACACCGTGGACGACCCAGTTTTTAGTGTAGACTTGTTTTTTAACATAATGAAAGGAATTGTCGTTTAGTTGCGGAGTGTAGAGGAGTACAAAAGAATGATGGGAATGTGTTATAAGTGCTATCTGACGAATACATCATCACCCATGGAACTTTCCGTTTTCACTTTTGACCATACACTGATGTGTCAGCCACACACTGGCAAATGTGGCAGTCTGTCAGGTTTCGTAAATGGGACCAGTGCTGTTCAGTTGTTATAGGCGGTGCGCAATTACTGTTTGAGTTTGAAATACGGCTGCTTGCACTGCTATCTTAAATCTAGGATACCACCGGTTGTTTGAGTTTATTACCCCGTTGTTTAGTCACTAGTGGCTCAATACGTGGGCTCAAAATTGCCAAAGATTACGGTTTCACGCATTTACACGCTTCGTTAGCTCTTGGCTCCTAAAGTAACGGGAGCAATTATACACAGTTTGTTGATTTTCCATTCAGAAAATAACCAAACTTTATGCCTGTAAACCTATCCTTATAGAATATAGGTGAACCGCGCAAAATGGAGGACTATCCGCACTTTGCGCTAGTCGTCTCCCCGAAGGGTCGCCGTAGTAAGCGTCATTAAACAACTCATCACTTTATTTCAGAGATATGACTGAGGGTTTGAACACACTATATCCTGTGCGGATCGAAAGCCGGTGGATGTGTTGTAAATTTTCCAACAGAAATTATGATGATTGAGTTTGGATCTCTTCAGATTTTCATTACACGCACCTTGTTGGTGACTTCGAACATCTCCGAAACAGCTATAAAATACTTCTTGCCATTCCAGTATCGGTTGATGTTTAATCAGTTTCGAGTTACAAAACGAATAATAAACTATTCACTACGAATCAGTATGATTTCCCAGCTGAGAATTATTATCAGATACAGATTAAAAAGCAGGGTTGAAAGGAAACAAGGTTGGCAAACATGAAGTTGTGCGGGGAAGTTCAAATCTAGCTAGTCAAGCACCGCCCTCTCCTTTTTTGCTGTTAGGCAAAAAAGCCCCACATGAAGGAAACAGCAGCCAAAAGGACGGCGGCGCAGATGTCGGTGAGCAGCACCATTTTCGGACGTTCGTCGATGCTTAACGTGAGCTCTTCAATCACAGTTTCGCGATCTTCTTTTGGGTTAGTCTCAATTCCACAAATCCAGTAGACTATTTTCATATACCATGGTCTGTGCTTTACGGACGGCTCACTTTCCGTATCATCTGAAATTAGTTAATCAATGGTGGTTAGTATGTGGTAGGCACCAGTAAGATTGTTGATAATGCAGGAATGTGGTTGAGTCTAGGGGCTATGGCAGATGAACGAGACCAGCGTATGTTTTGCCTTACATTGTTTATCCTGACTGTCCATTCAGATAAAGTTGTACACAGACATCCTCCTTTAGAATGATAAAACGCACTAAGATGGTCTATTCTGGAAAAAAGTGTACTATCAAACCTAGTTTTTTAGAAACCGCGAACTGTTTCTATATGGTGCTATGTTAGTGTATGTGATTCTATGATAGGTGTTTTCAATGCTGCTTGTTGTGCAGCCTGTTAGTTGTCAGAGGAACAAGTTGAGTAAACGAACGTATCGGTTTTTGGTTGTTCCTAAGTCATCCAGGCTGGCAGCGAGCAGTCGTCATCAATTCATGGTGATGAAGATGGTTTGTGCTCCTCGTGACAGGAAAATTCCGTTACCGCGTGCTTTTGTGCTTTTAGAATAAACTGACAGGCGCATAGATGCGGGAATATATTAACCAAGACTGGGGGTGGGGTTCGAAGGTAGAGAAACTTGGTTGATTTGGACGGACTCTGGATGTGACAATCTTTTTGATGGTAAGGCTTATCCGAGCTAATGCCCACATTGGCACCGTTTTTGTTATTCGATACTTTGAAGAACAACCTATCAGTGCAGGATATCATAATCTCAAAATTTAGGAAAACTCAAGATACGACTAAGGAGGAGTGTTCTTTCGTGGGGCATATTCTCTGGAAAAGTACAGTTCCATTGACGAAGGACAAGTACTGAACTCAAGACCATGGTGATTCGTCCTTTCGTGAGGTAATCCAAAGTGAGAGCTCCTTCAAGGAGGGGGAACGTGTGCCTAACCGTCAAGTTAAACTGAAAATCGAGGGACAATAAGACCGTCATGCGTCTGGTCAAGTTTAATCTGCAACATGGACATATTCGAAATCAGCGAAAAAACTAACTAGCATCCAAAGTCACGGGTTAGGAAACATGAAATTTAACCACGTTGTGATTATAAAACATACGTTAGACTAAATGGCCACTGATGTGTGCAACGACGTTTCGAATCACACTTCGTCGAACGACTAACGACATAAACACAGAATTAGGCTAATCAAACAAGAACGGAGATAGAGAGACGTGACTTATTGATCTAAATTAAAAGTAAGCTGATTGGGTTTTAGCTGAATACTCAACTAACCGGTAGGTAGTTATTAGGCTGGAAAGACAGGCCATCATTCTCCCGGTTGCTCATCTTTGCTTATGTGTTTATTTGGAAAGCCAACCTCGTATACTTTGCAAAGTTTTGTCAAAAGTAACTTCGTCGCAAAACGTCGAAAGTGGACAAGTTTGGTTGATAATCCGCTCAATTATTTAAGTATTAGTCGTGTAGAAATGGCGTACTTGTTAGGTGTAACGTGTATCACCTCGGGGTCTAACCAAATTATTAAGAAGCGTTTGTAAGATGACTGTGCCCATATATTCTTTCTGTGTCGTGTCCCTCCGTTTCACAAGGATGTCTTGAGTTCTTGAGTCACTTCACGAAATTTAATGGGAAATCGTCGACTTGCAAGGAGCCAAATGGATTAGTGTCGTTCAAACAATCAATTTTCTTACGAACATCCCTTCAAAAGTGTCGTTCCCATTTGTAAAAACTAGCAACCACTGCTGTATGAAGTGGACTTCCTTGTTTTCAACTGGCATTCAGCAGCTACCAGATGTGTATTTTAATCTCGAAACCATCAGATCAAAAGAACAATCGAATTCATCCAATCAGGCGAAACGGATTTATGAAGTGGGTAGCTGAATTTCGACCCGATAAAGAAATTATGTAGCCTAAGAGCCAATTACAGCACTCTTTCTCACTCTTGATTACGAATCCCGGGAAACAGATTTGGTGGTACCTTGTGGACGTCGATCTTATCCGAATGCCGTTCAAGGCTGTCCTATGTTTTCAACTGGGGGTTCTAACGGACCGCTCCGTCAGACTCCCAGAATGATGTGAATATATCCTAACATTCGAGGCCATACATATCCCTGTACATCCTGTATTCATTTTACGGTTTAACGCACCACATTTAAGCGGGAAACTTATATGACGTGTGTGACTTTATTGTTCATAAATTTTCCCCTCCTGAGTTCTATAGGCTAATCGTTCGTTGGTGACACCCTACGTATGCTATGATAGGATGAACGACTTCATTTTTTGACACTTTGAACTAGACAAACCAGGATAGTTACGACGAACTGAGCACATTCTGCACAGCCCTACCGTTCATTTACCAAAGCTTTGGCTCTTTCATTCTCACAGCTATGACCGGTATCTCCGTGGTCCTAATCAAAGTGCTTGATTTATCCAGATGCTCAGTCAAAGGATCTAGTGCTTTACACTATTTTATTGATTTCCGATAGAACGTGATATGGCTCGACTCTTTACAAACTGTTGATATTTTCATAGAAAAAACATGCTCCTATTTTGAGCATCTTGCCTACCGCATCACTTTTGCTTTTCAAACTGGCCGCAGTAATCTTTATCGGAAGGAGTCATTTATTGTCTAGACGTGACATACCGCTCATAAGCTGGTGAAAACTGTTCGACAGTCAACGACCGGTTTTTCAGCTAGGCTCAATCTCCGGCGTCTTGTCAACCGTATAAGGTCGTGGTCTTTCGGAACCATAAGCTGGGAAAACTGTTCGACAGTCAACGACCGGTTTTTCAGCTAGGCTCAATCTCCGGCGTCTTGTCAACCGTATAAGGTCGTGGTCTTTCGGAACGCATTCAGCAACCCTATGGGTAATGTTACGTCTGTACAACGTATTGCGATATATTGAATATCGTACCTACTCAAACATGAGGCGGTCACATGCGTTACATTCAGTTGAAGAAGACGATTATAAACGGGATACTCGGTTGGATTCAGCTCAGTCTTGTTTTGAGTGCTTGTTTAGGAAATTTGGGATCACTAAGATATTTTTGTTTTTCTACATCTGAAAATATATCGAAACTGGTCTGGCCTCCCTGGCTTCCGATTTTGTGAAAAACAAATACCATTTGTTGGCCTTGACAGTTTGAAATCACGTGTAATTTGCTACAAAATCAAATATAGAAGTCTGTGTTTCGGAAACTCCTGAACTGCAAGTTGGAATACAAAATATCCCAACAAATTCGAAATCTCCCATCAACTACCATGTAGCGTAATTCGTATACAACTAAAAGCCTTTGGTAAGACAGTGGTTGTTCTTTAAACCGGTGACCACTTACTCTAACAGAAGCGAAGAAGAACCGTGAATTGAAGACGACATGTTCGTCTGGGAGACAAATGCCTTTTTTATCATGTCTGGGTTTAGGATTTACAGGTGTGTTTTTAAGTGCAATACTCCTCTAAGCAACCGAAAAAAAGCCCTCACTCCCCACGTCCCTTTACGCTCCTGAGTTGCTCGAAAAAGAATTCGTAAAAATAGTTTGTGTTTTGTTCTCCGATGTACGTGGTGTCAGCGTTGTAACCTAAATCACACAAAGTCCAATGATTTCAAATAATGTATACTCTTTAAATATGAAGTGTCCCAAAATAAGGCTGGTAATAAAAATAAAACGGCTCTAGAATAATACATGTCTGACAATGCAGTGTCCGGCAAGAGACAGCAACAGAAACGTGGAAGGCAGCAAGCTTATCAATGTTTCCCAGGGATCTTTCGACGGATAGGGTGATGCACTAAAGTTTCGTGCAAAGTTTTTGATTACTGGATGCTTTGTCCTCAGTGACACCGAGTTTTGAAACAATTCTTGTAATGATTCTAGAGAAACGGAAACGTTCCAAGTCTGGATTCACATTTAAGCCGGATATTAAAATGCTAATGGTATTCAGAATACAATGTCTTTAAAGCAGGGAAGACTAGCTACCCTGTCAGGCAATGTACATTTGGTGCTAAGGTAGACCAGAAACCTAAGTAATCTGAGCTGGAAATATATTTTTCGGATCAAGAAGCGAGGTAGTAGCCTTGGGACATTTCTCAGCGCTTGGGTTCTGACGACTCGATCAATACACGTTGCGCCCATAAACTGATTTCTGCCTTCCCACTTTCTGTATTTCTTGGGAAGTATGCGTTGAAATTCGTAAGATTTCCTAACTGACTTACACAAGGAAGGGTAAATGTGGCAAACCCGATAATTAATAAAAAATAAAAAATATAATAATGTGATATAATAACTTAAGAGACATCCCGTCCTGAGTTGGAGGGGATTCTTTACCTCTTGTTATTTACGACCCGTACCGTCTCATGCACCTGCAACTAAGCTACTCTACATAGCCAAAGTTCTACCGCAGTATGGTGTTTTGGAGAGGACTGACTACAGTGCGAACAATGACGATATTTACACTAATGCGTGTACTCGGACTAATGTCTTTGTATCGATATTCAGAACATATTTCCATCGCTGTTCCTTAGCTAAATCAGAATGTTACGTGTTTGGGTAGTCCCCTATGGCGGTTCGTCTATGAGGTGCTTTTTGAATTTATTCTTGCTTCCTCTGATTGAATGACAGCCATGTATTTAAACTGTGAATGCGGTTTACACTGCTTGCCCTAATTTTTCATTTCCTGGATGTCATCGAAGTTGTACGATAACTGGCTCTAATGGGGTCTCTGATCCTTGAATTGAGTTGCTATGTGAAGAAAAGACTGTCTTCTTGTGGTCAGAGACCTTGCCCCCTCATGCAACTGAAACACAGAGTAGTAGCGCCAAAATGAAATTTTTGTTGGACAATTGCTCCTCTATTCGCTTGCACTTATTCACACTCACTTATTCGCGTACAGGGTGGATCGCGGGGAAAAGTATCTAGTCCTAACCGGAAGAGAAGCAATAGTTTTCATTAAGGGTAGATCAGGTCATCTGCAACTTAGAAAAACTAATTCATTACCTGATGGCCAGGAGCGAAAGATGAACTTATAAGTCTTCGAACAGGTTTGGCTTAGGAGGATATGTGAAAGCTGTAATGTTTTAGACTAGTTATGCGAACACCAAAACCGAGATTTTTGTGTGGTCATTTCGCCGGATTTTCAGAAACCTAGAATTCTAGAGGAATGTGCCGTGGGGTTATGATACGAAATAAAATACATTGTTGCTACAACCAGCAACAAAGTGCTCGGTTATTTAAAACACCATTATGGCATTCGTAATTCATCGAAGAAAACGAAGAGGAATCGGTGATCTGATGAAACGAAAGTCTGCAAGCAACTGAGCAGAGTTCTCTTATTTGGACTTTCGAAAAAGGTGTCAGTTTCATCACATAAAACATTTTTGGATTGCTTGGTGCACTTTTGAACCTTAAAATATAGATTTCGCGAAGTCTAGGCATTTTGACTAACCTGGTACAGTCAAGCGTAAATGTAACATGACGCCCCTTTTGAAGAAACCCCTTATGTTTGGGGGTATTGTAGCTCTCCATTCTGGATGTGTGAGATTTGGAATGCCAATGTAAGTTAAGAATAAAAATATGGGAGTGTTTCACGGCCTTGTTTCGAGCACACATATCAAAGGCAGTGAATCCGAATACTTTGAAATTGTGACGGACGGGATGATTTTCCGTCATACCGAAGAACACGAATAGGAATGAGTTGACGGAAACTCGGAAGCTGCGCCCATTTGATGGGCTCTTAGAAGAACGGAACTAGCGGTGGGTTGTCTAGGTGTTTTAAGAACAATGCGGGAAAATATACGGTGGTGTCTCGGATATCGTGGCATCTGAAACAGGAGGTGACCATTATGCGGCATATTCAGTTGAAGGATAATATAGACGAGAAATTCATTTTAGTTTCCCGGGAACACCAAAGTAATTTTCAAATGAGTGTGTTGCCTCATTGGAATTAGAGGATTTTCTTGGACAAATGATAAATAGAGCAGAAAGGTTTTGATATTCCCTAAAATGAAATGATCAGGGATTCCAAGTGCATAAAATATTAAGCAACATATATAAATGAACCTGAGAAAAAACGGCTTTATCCTTACCCATTTGCATGTCAGCATAAGCGTGTAAGTGGTCTACATGCGAGTTCGGTTGCTCGTCTCCACCACTTCTCACTGTTTCACCGGAAGAAACCGCTTGCTTCTTGTTGTGATACCGACTCCAAAATGTCAACCCCTCAACCTAAACAACATGGTCCATTGCTATGGTTAGCTTGAGAACTAGTTCAATTTCTCATCAATATAAACTGCCAATAACCCACAACATAATGAATGAAGCTAATAAAATGGAAGAAAAGTATATCATGCAAATAGGTGAAGTCAAAATTCGATACAACATATTACATACGTTGAAACTGGTCAAGGACAAGTTATGTTGCCGGTAAAATGATTTATTCCTAGCATCCTACAAAGCGCTCAAATTTCCTATTCATCGTGGATCTACAGGATTTAATGTAGGATTTAATGTATGCACTGGGACCTCAAGGAGTTCTAGAAACTTTGATCTGTAAATCAGTTTCACATGTATATTAAACTGCGAGTGCCATTAGTGGAACATATACATAGAACAAAATACCTGGCAAAAACATTGACTTTCACATAAATTTAACTTTCACTACGGGAAAGTGTACAAATCATCAAGTTAGGGCGAAGACATGGTTCGTGACTGGTCAGTCGATGGATCAAGCAGTCTGGTGGACTCGGTTCGCACGTCGAACTGGGAAACAGGACTGTTACATACGACCTCAGCTTACATACGAATAAACCAGCTCGCATAATCCAAAATGTGGTGTGGTGGGGAAAATGCGCTTGCAATGGGTCGACCACTGGAAAGGCTAATGTGCATGCGCATTGAGTGAGCGGGTATTTCCATGAAGAATGCGCGATCGGCTGATTCAAATATTTCTGGGAGTACAACCGAGTAAATGGATCACCAGTACAGACCACCGGAGTTGCCTGATACAGACAGGGGAATAGGTCGGCTTTGTCCACAAGCTTTTCCTTCCCTGTTTGGGGTGGTGGGCTCAGTGATGTTCACAGAAGGCGGAGCTTATTGGATTGATGGGTGAAAGTGATCGATTCGATTACCCGCTTTTGAGCAATGGGTACCACAAGCCCAGGCACCAGCGACTAAAGCTTGAGCTGTAATCAGTCAGTTTAGGAAAATGCACGACTTGGAAACACGAGAGCTGACAGAAGCCAGTGTACGAAATACCTTAGCCTCTTCCTTCTTCGCGTTGAGTCGCACGCAGTTAGTGGAATGGTACGGTTCGGTGCTTATTAGTTACATTTAGAAAGTTGATTCGAAAATATTTGAAGAATGTCACGAATGTGAACAATACCGACATTGTTTGATTAAAAATGTCAAAACTGCCATATCGAACGAAAATACGGCAAGGTGAGTCTGGTCTTCCTGAATGCTCTAAACTTCGAGAATGTGTGAAATAATATGGAGTTGGGCGAATCAAGCCAGCCCGTTGAAAGTGAAACGAGTTGAACGCTATCGATATTATACCTGAAGCTGAATGCATAATGCGACACCGAAGAGGGTTTTCAAAATAAGTATTTTCAATGAAATCGCACCAGATTCCAAGAACCGGAACTCCATCTCGTTACAAGAAGTTCAGACTAACAGATGCTTGAGGTTGCTCCATCTACCGGCACTTGATTATCCGGTTGTTTCGATGGATAACTCAAGTATCAACATGTTTTGTCTCCGACGAAATGGCCCGTCAAGCATACTCCGTAGGAAGATGACAAAGGAAAAAACATGAATAGTATTAGTATGTTATACCTCAGTTGTTTTGTTAGGATCAACTCACAAACGAGGATCACACTGGAGTAGACGCCGTAACCAGTGAGGTGAGAAAATATTTATTTTTTTACTCTCAGTGGTCGTTGGTTTAACCACTGTTGTATGTGATAACGCTACGCTGTATCCGCGCAACGAGGCATTCTTCTCAGAGGTGGGCCTTTTATCCTCTAAGCTGGTGCATCTGGCTCCGACTCACTGGCTCTTAATCTAACCTAATGTGGGGGTGTGTGGTCCTAGCGACTTTCTGTTGTATTTCGGATATGAATAATGTGTGAATTGGGATATACTTGGGACAGAATTACCGAAAAGCGTCGCGTGGCTACCCAACAGAACAGCAAAATAGACAGCAGTGTTAATTCGAGGTCTGGTAACAGTTTTTAGTGTCTAATAAGTTTCTTGGTTCGGTTGAACTGTCACTTCTCAAAAGCTTTTATTTTAGGGATAAGGCTTGTGTTCGATCGATCCGTGCGACAGCATCTGTTTAAAGAAGTTGAGTTACCTACCTTTCCGACCGTCTAAAGACGATCCCAAAACTTTACAAAACAAAAACTGACACGATCTGTTTTAGGTTTCGACATTTCCGGACCCAAACCTACACACCATCCACCCAATGTAAGCATGCTGCTCAAAATTTCGTGGGCTGAACTTGTAATCCGATGCTCGAATAGACCATCTCACTCGGTTTCCTTCGCAATTGCCGCGGCCGACAATGTTCAGTTCGGTGTTTCCGGTGTTTTTGTCGCCTACTTTTTCCAGCTGATGGCTGTAGCACACGTAAATTTTTTTTGTCCTCCAGCATAACAGTTCTGATGAACGCGACTAAGGAAGACGGATGCTTTGTACGATACAGTAGGACTTTCTGATTTGACATCGACACGTAGGAGTGGCATAATGAAATACTTGGGTATCCGGTGTTGCCGAAGCACTTGTGATGTAAAAGGCAGTTAAACCGAATAGGATTATGTATTCGTACAACTTTCCTGTGCAAACGCAGGACTAACATTTTATGAGTACACCACCAGCATTTTAGTAGACTTGTTAGATCCACAGTAACCTGCGTAGAAGTAGCTTGATGAGGCTAATTACGGGCCTGCTTTTTCTGAAACGAGGTCAACAAATTAAGGGTACATAATTTGTGACGTCACGAGGTCGAAGAGGGCCCTTGTTACAAGTCTACGGAGGCTCTTATAAAATTGCGACCCTGATATTCTGTAAGAAACTCACAATATGCCTCTACTTTGTCCTAAGTTGCTTGAGGCAAATGAGTGCGCTAGTTTCTTGCTTGCATAGGTTATTAATCGAATACCATATACGTGAGCACTGGGAATGTATCCACATAGACTTTATTATGAAGTAACTGCTGATTATTCCAGAGCTTGTAAGCCACAGCGTCTCAAGCCCATCACATGTTACTGCCAAGTGAATGGGCCGCACGAAGTCATAGTGTACAGTATACTTCCTTTGTGCGCTGGTAAAAAATTCAACAGGGAAGAGTTTCCGCGAATCGGGAGGAAGCAGTCGAGTTAGGAACTCATGACGCTGTGTCAGCATCTGTCTTCAGACCAAACAATGTCGGTATTGTTCACATTCGTGACATTCTTCAAATATTTTCGAATCAACTTTCTAAATGTAACTAATAAGCACCGAACCGTACCATTCCACTAACTGCGTGCGACTCAACGCGAAGAAGGAAGAGGCTAAGGTATTTCGTACACTGGCTTCTGTCAGCTCTCGTGTTTCCAAGTCGTGCATTTTCCTAAACTGACTGATTACAGCTCAAGCTTTAGTCGCTGGTGCCTGGGCTTGTGGTACCCATTGCTCAAAAGCGGGTAATCGAATCGATCACTTTCACCCATCAATCCAATAAGCTCCGCCTTCTGTGAACATCACTGAGCCCACCACCCCAAACAGGGAAGGAAAAGCTTGTGGACAAAGCCGACCTATTCCCCTGTCTGTATCAGGCAACTCCGGTGGTCTGTACTGGTGATCCATTTACTCGGTTGTACTCCCAGAAATATTTGAATCAGCCGATCGCGCATTCTTCATGGAAATACCCGCTCACTCAATGCGCATGCGCATTAGCCTTTCCAGTGGTCGACCCATTGCAAGCGCATTTTCCCCACCACACCACATTTTGGATTATGCGAGCTGGTTTATTCGTATGTAAGCTGAGGTCGTATGTAACAGTCCTGTTTCCCAGTTCGACGTGCGAACCGGGTCCACCAGACTGTTAGTTTGAATGACTGACCTTCCGCGTACTGTTATTTTACCTCGCTCGCCATTGTTCAATGACAACGCACAGAGATGCGTGTGTATCCCCATTTCTTCCTGAGGAGCTTGTTAATTGTAGCAGTCTGCGGTTTTGCAGCATTCGGCAAAGCCAAATTAGCATTAGTTGGAAAATTCAGCAATTCCTCCGGTTCTTGTTTGAGACAGTGACTATAAGACGCGATGTATTTTCATTTTTCTTCTGATAGTTCCTCAACTGTCTCCATAGTGAACGTTTGCCAAGTGCATTATGTTGGTATGTACATGTTTCAATGTGCTACCATGCACCTAGAATATTAGGTTTGATAAATCTGCCTATTATGAGCGCCTTTCCAGTTCACTCTGATACATACCCTCACTAGGTTTTCGAGGTTGACTCTGATTTCGGAGTGCATTTAAAAAAATGATTCGGCTAGTGGATTCATCCGGTTTCTCAAGCCTATTGGTAACCCACATTCTCAGTTGCTAATCCCCTCGTGAGTGTCTGTGTTAATCACCCAGTTCTGGGTCTGTGTGGTTGCCCCTTCATTGTTAAGCTTATGGTGATCGACCATTCATGATCAACTTGAATGTGAAAGAACCTCAAAATTCCAACCTTCCAGCGACAAACTCCTCTACCTCGTTTCAAAATACGGTCGAGGAAACCTCATAAGAAATCGAAATTCACACCTGTTTTCCCTCGCTTCAATCAACGTCGTTCTATTTCCTTTCGCAGTGTTCAAATTACAACACACTATCACTAACCTGACAGAAGGTTTTCCAAACGGACTTCTCAGAAATACATCAGTACTTACAATTGAACAAATAAAGGCACAACGATGATAAATAAACTGAATATCACATACGTTTTCCGGAGGTGGAGGTTTCGTGCTTATGCTTACGGCCCAACCCACAAATGAGCTAAGTGCGAACAATATCACACTAAAGTGCAGGTAGTGGATTGAACTAATGAACATCTCTGCTGTTGAGTTTCCTTGGCTTGTACCACAGGATGCACGCGGAACTATTGATTCCCAGATGAAACGAATCAGTCCAACCACGAGGCCAGACATCAAAGCCCCATAGGCCCCCTGCATAAGAAGAATATAGAAACAACCTTTGGGATGAAGACTGTAAAATCTCTGGATGCCATATAGCAATCAATCTTGAAAACATTTACCAATTTTAGAAGTTATTTTATAAGTTCCTCATTCTCCCCGTAGCAGTTTGGCTTCAAAGGACTGCTTCATCATCGATCTTTTTGCGCCGATTCCGACAAAATGTTATTTCTGTGAATTTTGAAAATGCAGCTAACCAAATTGTGTCTCTTTAACTATTTCTTTTCAGCAACATCCTTTGCTCGATATCCTTTCGAAAGACACAACAACGCGGTCGATCTTCGTAATTTTTAGTTGTACAAAGGGACTATTATTTTGTAGTGGATTTCGGTGGCTTTGACAATGAGTTAAAGTTACGCTGCTCGTCTAAATTCTTCCCCTTGCTTCTTTGAAGAACATGTCCTCATTGAGTTCATTAAAGTATAGATTCATATCTCACATCAAAATAATAGCCACAGTGGAATTTACCGACGGTGATTCTAGCATGGTAATTATTCTGAAGCCCTAAGTAGCATTTGTCGGCTTTTGGAAACCCGGGTAATCGTCAGATTACAGTGTATTTAACCGAGTGTTCTCTCTCATTTACGGGGTCGGGACCTAGAAGCAAATAAGTTGGAACCAAAAACGTTTATTTTTATTATAACATTTTCTTCTTTGGGTTTTGATTCTGTAAATGGAAACCGCTACACTCTCGCACCCACAACTTTTAATATTTCCAATCCATGGCAGACTTCTGAGTTATTTTGATTCGGTTCCGCAGATGTGTGATACGAACACTCTCGTGGCGTATATTTTAACTTGATTATTGTCGCATACAGCATCCTTATACCCACCATTGATGAATCTGGCATCAGACATTTTAGCAGGGTGTACAATTTTACTTTCGTTGTACAGCGCACCTTCGTTCATTCGCAAGTGAAATGTTAACACTCTCAGATAAGTCAACGTTTTGTGACTCAAGTTAGTGCCTTAAACAGAGTGAAAGATATCATCGGATTGACTGACTAAGTATACTAACCATTCACTGACTCCGTCAGGCACGTAAGCTACACTGTAATGAAGTCATTTTGGAATAGCAATGTTCTGTTTGTACGTACTTATGTAAATGGGCACCATTTACACTGGCAAGGAATTCAGATTCCACTCAAAACTGCGTTTGACTTGGGGAGACTTGACTCCTTGTATTTGAAGTGTGTCCATCTACAGTTACTCGACTTGTCGACTGCCGAAAAAATGAAGACACTAAACAAACGAGGTTCCAACTGACCAAAAACGGATTCAGTATTTCAATTGCACCGCAGCAGTTATTTAAGCTCAGCAATGAACGCACATGCTTTTGTAGGCCGCAAACTCATGGTCGTTTTCTAGATGAACAATACGTGCTCAAATAACCTGCTGTTAAATTCATTCAGCGTATCAATATTTCAATTTCATTATTCTAGTCATTCCTGCTGGGTAACGCGCAAGGCCTCAAAAATGAGCACTGAATGTCAGGCCTAGACAACTAATTTTCAAACCTAAATCCGCAGAAACAAAGTTCAACTTTCCTAACAAAGTTTACCTCAGATTGGGCGTTGTGCTACTGATCAACACAGCTGAATTCAGCTTACTGTGAGACAGTGGAGTTTTCGGCCTTAAAGGCAGAATATTGATTTGATCATTTCGTAAGAGGGACTGCGTTCCTAAGTTGATACATTACAAGTCAAATGTCTAAAAGCAAAACTGCGCTATAAGTTAATAAATTGTTTCAATATTTCAACCATTTTCGTATGAACCAACATCATTTGTAAATGTAAGCACGCACCAAATATACAGAAATGATGGAACCATGATCAGTTCGTCTGTAGAGCCCTGAAACATAAAGACTGTATTTTCCAGAAACCAGTATCAGTTAGAAAACTTCGATCGGCCGAAAGTGATGCGCTGCCGCAGCTATCAACCAAAGAGAATTTGTGATCACACAACATGACCAAATCTAGGGAGGCTCAGCCACACGAAGTCCCGTACTTATTCAGACTCATTAGGTGGATAGGAAAGGACTCGCCATCTGGCCCACTGAGATCTTTCTTCCTTGTGGAAAGATCTATACGTTTATTAGGATATGGCTTGATTAGGCTCGGATTTTAATACACTCATCTCCATGCACATGGCGTCAACTTTAGGATATGCTGTAATTACAAGTTTCGTAACGAAGTTCCCAACTTTTCAGATTACCCAGAAAACTGTTGCTTTCGGACGGTCATAAAAACAAGAAGATTCTAAACTTTTTCCTAATCTAAGAAGAAAGAACAGTGGCAATGCTGAAATGTGAAATAATGACATACCGGTCTATTGAATCGGCTCCAAAACAATGCCATTAAGAAAGTCGCACAGACTGGAGGTGCAAGGTAGCTGGTAACAGACTGGATGTAGTGGAACAGTGCACTGCTAGACTTCACAACTGGAATCCATGCTATTGAAACCCCAATAAGAACGAGGGTAGATATTCTGCAAGCAAAGAGAGGTTTTGTCACTGAAAAGTGGAACAGTTCAAAGGACCACAGACTGAGTGAAAATTAGCTTTTCTATTTCGCCTCTTTGGACTAGAACATTATGTACATACATATATATTAGAACAGAATGTAATAAAATCGCTGTCGGTTAAACCCTATCATAGGCTTTAAGAATCATGTGGTCCCATTACTTGACTGGCTGACCAAATAAGCACTAGTGCCTATGTGAAGCACTTCTGAGCTTTTGCACTCTCGTACTTTTGCCTGACGTTTTCCTTCAGATAGACTTCAACATTTAAAAGACAGTACAACATTCATTAAGTTTGCCGTCTCTAGTAAATGAGCATGAATGCAGACTGTAGCGGCACATCCCCGTTCTTCTCCGAAGCTAGATGAGAGATGTCTACCCATCATGCGAAAGGTCACTTCACAGGAGCAGGCAAGTTAGTACACATCAGTACACCAACGTGTTCCGATGAGGCTTTCTGCCTTTTGTTTGCTGTTTAACCAAACATTAGTCTGGGTTTCTATTTTACCAACTCATTTGGGGGTCACCCTTGAAAGCAGACGAAGGCGAACAGGTTTTTGACACATTATAAAACTTTTTTGGAGGCCGGAGTTTCATTAGCCTATCGAAAATCTAAACGGGGGACCGTTTTCCTGTAACATGACTATGTAGAATTCCGGTTTTTTAACTGAGTTCTGCTTGAAAAACCCCTTTTAATTCCCAATATGCATTGCGCCAAGTTTCCTTTTAGTTCAAGCAGAAAGAAGCTGGAGAAATACATGTACTAGTCATTCCAGTTCGGTTTGCGTAATAACTGTCCTGCTTGTTTCTACACAAAAACCTTAAAAGTACAACACTTTTCTCCATTTATCTTAAAATTTTAATAAAATGCAGCAGACTGTCCTCTTAAAGTTGCTTAACAGCAAAGTGGCTTCGAAAATGGCTCTATACATGAAGATTGTCGTCTATAGATATTCCGTGAATTTCCGGTGGGTCATCTCGTTCATGAGAGTTGCATTCTTTAGACTAGATATATAAAAAGGTACTCATGAATTTGTACAAGAAAACAGTTAATTTGCTCATAAAATTCGTCTTTTAACAGGAACTATCCGTCTGGCATACATCATAAAATTAGTTTCTCTATCTTACAGCAAAGTACTCGGGAGATATCAAAGCTCAGTGATATCTACTCAGATTCCATTAAAAATGTGGAATTACGCATAGTAACAACAGTATAATTTTCAAACGCTTGATTATGACAGAAAAATTAAGTGACATGGAACTCCGAGCCGGTTCTAGTACGTCTGATAACTACTTCAAAGTGTTGTGGTATTGACGAGTGTAGACATATTTTCTGCGCCCTAGGGAGACCGCAAGACAAAGTTAAAGATATGCCGGAAGATTCCTGTTGTTTGTAGTGCTGTGCATAGATAGAGTTTCTGTGTTGTTATTGATCCTAACGGAATTTTACAAAAAATCTATACTTCTAAACATTTTTTATTAACTTATTGAAAAATGTTCTTGTCTTTCTCATCTCACCTCAGCAATACTGACATATATGCGGTTTGTATTGAATGCTTTTGGGTATTGGGATACTGACCATTTTCACTCATTCCAAGAACTAAATCAAGGCGAGACTAAGGAACCGAGCCAACCAGGAAGACCCGGTTTCTGGTCAGTCATATTAACCTGTGGGACTAACCAGTTCTTCTGTTAATCACCACCGGCTGATAATTCGTGTGCCTTAGTAGCCCGTTGATTATGCAAGCGTGCAAATAGCTACAATTGTACAATTGCATGGATGGACTTATCGATTGTGAAGAACGGAAGTGGTGCACCGTTGGTGAAGATGAAACCAGAACACTGGCCATTAGCTTTTAAAACCATTTTATGGAGGCTTCTGAAGCGGGATAACAGGAGTTCTAAATCAAAAGTTTCACATCTATGAGAGTCTCCTTGGATTGCTCTGTCACTCCGCATTTCTAATCTCTCGTTTTCACCCACTTTAGATATCTTTTTCAGGCAGATTTTAATAAGCACTTGTTTTTTGGAACCGGTCATCAGTTTTGGATTAAAATTTCCAAATTTCAGTGGCGTGAACAATAAGACGTCCCTTGTGCTGAATGTAGCTCATGGAGTAAACCAAGGTGGATGCCCTGACAAAAAGAGCGCGGGGAAAGGGATGTGTATATGAGCATGTGTTGTGTGGGTTAAAAGATATTTCACGCCAACTTTCACGTTGAAAGTTTCCCCCAGAATGTGGTCGTTGCACTCATCTATTAGATTTGCAAACGTTCTGGAGCTGATTGTGTAATTTGGTCCTATCTCAACTCATGATGTGTATCATCTAGCGACCCTAAGGATCTTATGGGACGGAGTCATTACTAAACCCACACAGCAACACGTATGCCAAGGTGAATTCACATAAGCTGGTGGATCTGTTTTGGACGGTGAACTGCAAACAAAACCACTGGCAAACCAACTGAATGCCATAAGGAATGGTACAACCGAAACTGCTGAAATTCTTACTGAAGGCTTCAGCATCCTATGTCAATTGAATTGAATGATCACTCCATGAATGCAACAACAGTACAGTACGATTTAGTACTTCAAGATTATGCTTCACACTGAAGAGTGTCTACGAATCTTGTTAGCCGCTTGATGAGTAAGCAGCTTTACACATGACCGTTTGTCTTCTAGCCCACACCATTTTCCTAAATGACCAGGAACCTAAAAAGGACACTGAACAGAGCTCCAAACAAACAAAAAGATAAATCGACGAAGTTGAAGTAAGATGAGATTACTGAATATTCCATGTACACTGCGGCTAACTTGTTAGGTATCAAGGATGTTGAATATCCGTTGCAGTAATTTTGGAGGAAAAAACAAATATGACGGAGTGAATCGCCTTAAACATTAACGGGTACATCACCGTGGACCAAACCCTTCCACTTTGTTAACATTTGCACGGCAAAATGAGAGACTTCCAAAAAATATGAAAAAAGTATGTCACAAGGTAACGATGTTCAGAGGGAGCAAGACGGATGGGATTTGTAAATGTTCACTGTTTTCTTAGCCGGATTCATGGAAATATTTCATCAAGCAGTTGTTTTGATCTTACCATTACGAAAGGAAAATACATATAAAGTATGTTTTGAAGTGCACATTTATGTATTTAAAAAGATTCTCATACCCTCCAGATTGTGAGCTTGGATTAGCTATCCTACGCCTTTCCTCGTTTAGAGAGGACGTCTTTGTTAGGGGTCACCGGATTCGAGCACTCTCTGCTGTTGCGGATAGGTGAATCACGTAAGGACGAGAAAAAGTGTGTTGTGTCGAAGTTTTCTTAGCTCAGAGTTTTTTCGTACTGCGTGAACATCGTCGGCGGCAGGTGAAGATATGTACGCGGTGCTGCAGATAAATCAACTATGATGCCAAAAGTTATTCAGCTCCTTTCTTTCTGAAGCCATCTTTAATGACCATAACGCTCGACTTATTGAAAGACTAGCACACTCGGCATTATTAAACGTGAACAAAAGGGTGGGAGCGGTTTCAGATGTTGTTTTTATATATGTGTGAACTGAAACCAAAAACATATTCCATAAACTCCACGTCGAATAAGCACAACTGAGAGAAACTTTCTCTGAGATCTTCAATTCTCTGAATAGATGTATCCATATCCGAAAATGCTAAAGCTCACAAATAAGCTCAAATTTTGGCGTCTTGAGGAAAAACATCTGAAGACAGGTTTACAGGGAATTGTAATTTTTTTACACTGCACCTTCAACCTGGAAACGAAATTTATGTAGGCTAGTAAACTAAGCACCAGTGTAAACCTGCCTGTTGGGAATCATCAGCACCAGTACCTTATGTATCACTGTGCAGACTCAAAACCTTGACCTGAAGAATATGTATACTCATGAAAATCCCGCGGCAAATATACGTACCTTAGTTCAACGGATTGTCTGTTATTTTACGTGAGAAATATTGTCTGTGCCTCATTTCAAATAAGACGGACCGTTCTGCAACTGTATAGCTAGAATGCACACAACCAAGTGTTTTGATTTACCGTCCCACAATCATCAGTTCGGCTGAACGAGCCTTTGGTCGTATACGTCGCCAAATGTCCATTGTGAACAGAGTAGAGCTGGAGTTGAATATACTGGTCAAGCTTGATACCAGAGAGGCGATCATCACGGCGAGCATCAAGCCTTTGGCACCCATGGGTAGTAGTCGAAGTACAAGGCGAGGATATGCGATGTCCGTACAGCTTGATGTTTTGCCACAAACCCTCTGGCATATGTCTGGATCGCCGCATCCAACTTCGTCTGCACGAGGAAATATGAGGAAAGTCACATTCACGAAAACATTTCCTCTTGCTCGCTGTTCATCTACTGAGACATTTCTAAGGTACGCTGGGTTAAGCTGTGGAGGCTGTTCTAAGTATTCCCATGAATACCATTATGCTACTTCACCACTTGACGATTTTATTCTTCGAGAGCTAAAACACGAGTACTCACCTGCTGTTGCAGCCTGTCAGCCCTACCTCCAAGTGGTAAGTTCTTATGCCCAGTAATCTCAAACTAATGTGGATGAGCAAAGCAGACTTAATTCGATGAGCGAAGATAAACAAATTTACACAAAAACGCTTCTCATGTGTATACCATGACATGGGAATTGAGATCATTTGAAATTACACATAACTCATGGAGTGTTTTGGCTCCTCACGGTCAGCCTAAACAATTAAACACACATTTAACCTGAAGAGCTAGGAAGCACATCAATGAGAGAACATCAAATAAGTGCGTTTTTGTCCTCACAGGCACAAAGGTTGTCGGGTGGGCAAGTCTGAGGATTTTAAAATGATAGAATTAAACCACGTTAGTATGCCGGTGATTTGATCAACTCTATTGACCTTCTTCAAGAGTAGAATAGTCAAAATAAGGAAAAAATGGGAAAAGAGAAACAATCGTTGCAAGGGTATTACAAGGAAGTAATTTTTTTGGCGAACAGAACACCATCCGATTCACTGTTTTGAGTCAAACTGAACGCTTCACGTGCGTTGTTGGTCTGGCTATTGATTTGTCCTAACCTGACAACTGCAATAGGCGGTCCGTCTTTTCGACTGACGAAAGTATGTTGGATCAGAACCACCGGAAATTTCGCACATCATCGTTTCGCATGTATCGAAGTTCCTTTTCGTATTGGTTGAGTCTACTCGGACAAGAACGTGTGATCCTGTTAGCATACCTGAACAAATGAGAACAAATGAGGTGGAGCGGTCGCATTTTCATTGCAAGGGGAGACTGGACCGTACCGTGACGTGGCGGTATTGTACCGCGGCGACCCATTGAGTGTCCCCGCGAGACTCAGAGTCTCGTACACCAGTTTGGCCAGTGGTCAGACCTCTAGGTCTGACGAACACAGTCTTCTGGCCCTCCACATTTGAGGTGGAACATAAGTGGCGACGCGTTCAGTAAAACTTGTAATGTACTTTCATCTCCAGCCCAACACCACTGCCTTGCGGTTAGGCTTTTGAGCCCAAGGCTTTGGTTGAGGACCTTGATCGTCCGTCCGTCTAGGTGTGAGCGCCCTAGCAGTATCCCAGCCCTCGTACAACAATGAGATTTACAGCTAACAATACTTTCATGCTACACCGCCCGTCGCGAATTGCCATCAGCTGGGTCGCCTTAGCTGCTGCATACACCAGGGCGGGGATTTACAGCTAACAATACTTTCATGCTACACCGCCCGTCGCGAATTGCCATCAGCTGGGTCGCCTTAGCTGCTGCATACACCAGGGCGGGTAAGCGGAAACATGCTACCGCTGACGCATCCCTTCTTACGCTTTCACGTTTCCCTCTTCCAACCTCCCCTTCCCATGTTTGAATACTTTCTCCGCAGGACCCGGCACCAGGACTGACCGTTTTACTCGCTCTGCATCACACTTAGCTGCAGTTTCTGTACGTCCGAGTTCAGTTACAATCCTCAACACTTCAAAGTCTGTTTTCAAACACCAAAATCCTGTCTATTAGCTGCCTTTAATGTTTGCACACTGAAGCAAGCAAGTCAACAGGTGGCTCTTGCTAGTACGCTGCATTTGCTCTGCATTGATGCATGCTGTCTGTCAGAAGCAAGGATACAGGACGCAAGTACTGCGATTGAAATGACTGCTCTCGCACTCTCTTCCGGGTTCCAGATGCGCACCTATGGTGATTCAGAGACCCCCGCAGTTGGATACGCTGGAGCGAATATCGTATTGAGGGACCGAGCAAAAGCGCCTCTGCCTGACTGGATAGCTGTTAATAGTCGCCTCTGTGAGGTTCGTTTGGCAACATCCATTAAGAAGCTACAGGAAGTGAGGTCCATCGCACCTTATTATTATATCTGCTTACGCCCCAACTGGTTGTTGCTCTGAATCTGCCAAGGACAGTCTCTATGACGCTTTAGATGCCTTTCTAAGCAGGCTAAAAGCTCGAGTATCGTTGTGGTCTCTGGTGGCATGAAAGCTCACGTAGGTATGCTGAGTACTGCTGAGGTCCCAATGGGTGGCCGTCTTGGAGTGGATACGAGACGCATAGACAACGGGGATCGCCTACTTCATATGTGTGCCAATCAACTACTGTTCCTTCGCAGTAGGAATTTCCGGAACGCCGGAAATCGCTTGCCGACGTAGTGCTTACCAACAAACCAGCGCCGAATCCAAATAGACCACATCGTCGTCAGTTATCAGTGGTGAGAGTCGATCACAGTCTATCGCTCCTTCTGGAACACCAGAGTAGACCCTGACCATGCAATTGTACGTTGCTGCTTTTCATTGCGCTGCTCAGCGAGTTGTACGCAAAACGTGCACCCCCCACTTAGCCAGTGAGATGCAAGTAGACCCAAAAATCAGAAACTGGCACCGGACGGTCCGATGCCGGATATCAACGGCCACTGGGAAAATATATCCAAAGCGCTACTCAGAGCCGAAACTTCTGTTTGCGTTACAACCCAGGCAGCCTAATCCAGACATCGAATCCCTGACAAGACCATCTTTACTGAAGGCCCGGGAAGAGTTTCTCCCCTGGCTGCGACCACAACTCCACCCGGTGTATCACACCGAGCTAAATCAAACTGAGTGTCCGCGTAGACGGAAAAGCTTGGTGGACCTATAACCTCAAAGAAATGAAGGGTGCAAAGAATGCTTAAAACGTGCGCAGGCCGTTCCGCTAGGTTCGTCTGACTGATCCTCGGGATCGCCTTCGGTCTCAGCAGTGTCCACTGTACTCCTCTACTCAAGCGTCATCGTGCTGCTGGTTCTAGTGACCTTCCACCTGCTCTTTTCAAGTCTGGTGGTGAACTCCTCAGCCATTCCCTCTCTAGCCTATTTGGATCTATCTGGGAGAAGGAGACCGTTCCAGACAACTGGGGTGAATCGATAGTGATGCCTATTTTCAAAAAGGGTACTCGCAGTGAATGTAGTAACTACAGAGATGTTAGTTTGACGCCTTCTGTGATAAGGCTTCTAGCGTCACTGATTCTTCGTCGTCTAACCGTGGCACGCAAAGCTTTGACTCGTAAGAATCAAGCGAGATTTCGACCGGGTGGGGGCTGCGTTGACCACATCTTCACACTCCGTCAGGTGTTAGAGCAACGCCACATGTACAGACGGCCCACAGTGTTTCTAGCGCTGGTGAATAGCATACGAAAACAACTAGCTGGACTGGGATGGCTTATGCATCTCTAGCGGTCATTTGAACAGTTTATTAAAAAGAACGTCAAGATGGTGTCGTGTGGTCATCTACAGTCAATGTCGGTTAGTGATTTGTTTTGCTACCCAGCGAATCACAGTGACTAGATTGTATTTGATACACTACAGGTCACTGTGGAAAGAACAATTCCCATGGGAAAAATAGCTGTTGGAACTCAGAGCATATCTTTCTAAAGGCTGTTAGGTTAAAAACCAACAACCTGGCCACTTTAAGTCACATTGGTTAAATTCGTGTTTTATGCACCATTTGTTGGTGAATTTCCACCAAGTTTGATCCGGTGAGCAGTACTGGATAGAATTCTGACACCGTTGGTCAACATCGACCCGAGAATCTCAAGTACTTTATATAGAAACGAAGTAAAAATCAATATGAAGGTCAGTTCTCTCTTAAGTTGATTTCTTGCCACATGGAATAAAAAATCGAAGTCAAAAATCTCAACGACAATCCTCCCATGGTTGGGCTAACTCGAGTTGCGCCGGATCCGCAACGCGAAATAAAATTTAAGCTCTAGCCAACCTCTATTCCAATGTTGACTGTGCAGCATTTTGAACAGACACATGGTATTTCCTGGCAAACTTCCATACACAAACGCGTTGCCACCTATCATTGGCACTGCGGCTACTCCACTTTTTCACCACGTCAAATGATTTCTGCCGTCAAGGAAAAAATGCATATTGGATGCATGTTGATTTGTTCGGTTAACCGACCACTTTGCCGGGTTAAATGGCTCTCAGTGGGACCCATAATGACATGCTAATTCATTCTGATTAACAGAATAGACGGGTGAAATATGCAGCTACAACTCCTTTAATAAGGTCCACTGCTGGTGTTTGGTCATGAATGTCAATGGCATTTGACAGTTACCATTCGAATTTCTTAACTGTGTGTAGAAGTGACAACTCCTGTAAACAACTTTGAAGTCGCCCGGGACTAATGAGCTCTAGTTAGCGACCTGAGGTGTGCCGGTTTTGCTTTTTAAGTCTTTTCTGTTTGTGCGTCAAGTACATTTTATTCTACCAAAGTTCCTCTTACTGCCTCCCTGCGCCATTTTTCATAGGCTGTTTTCACCCGATTCGCGTGGTCCAGGATGATTGATTACCGCACTGCAGTTTCATGCGTAATAATAAAGTCCACAACCAAAGCTTTAAAAACCAATAATATCAACTCATGTGCCTTGCTGTATCCCTTGGAAAGCGCTACAAAAATTAACTGCGTTCAGTAGGTGCGTGGAATAAACAGGCACCAAATTTAGTCTGGATGGATGTTACAAAGGTGTGAACCATCTGGCAACCGAGGCAATACGCTTCAATTCAAGATTAGAAAGGTTTGACTTTAATTGCTTCACTTTACTGAAAACAGCGGTCATGAATCTTTTGGTATACGGCATTTGTGCACTTGGAATGTGGTGACTGGATTGATAAACAGTGTCATTAAACCAATTCGAACGTCACCCTAAGAAACGGCTTTCAAAGTGCGAGCGTAGGAAATAGCCAGTCCTTGGGGTTAATTACAGAAGCCACCTTGTAACTTGACTATAAACTCACGGAGGTGTACAAAGTTCCTATCGGAAATATTCTGTTTAAAGAAGTGCCTTGTTTCACACTGGCCTTTCGTGGGCAAACATACTGAACAGGACTTGGTCATATGTAATGCACCATTTGCGTTGAGTAATTTTGCACAGAAGTCCTAAGTTTGCTTTAGGAGTTGTGGCTCTCTTTAAGAGGACTGGAAACCCTACCAAACAAACATTTCAGTAACACACTCATCCGCATAATTCAGTGCACATGAGCTCTGAACGATGGTAAAAAGTGTAATGGTACTTATTAGAATACTCCATAACCTAGCTGTCTCAACCATAGGTCGTCTTAGGTCATTCTACAGCGGAGAAAAGTGGCAAAGAGTTTTTGTAAAAGTCACAGTCGAATGGTTTGTAGCACAGAGTCACAGCATCGGTAGTCCCCATACGGTTGACTCGTGAATGCATTTTGTTCGATAGGGACCCAGTATAGGCGATACTAGAGATGCGTGAAAAAACACTTGACGTCGTAGACTCTCAAACGTTTTCCATTACGGAAAAATGTTTTCTCGCGTCAGGCAGAATGAGACTTTTACCATTTGGAATCTGTGTACTCTATGCTAGAAAACCGTAAAAATGAATCATTAAATTGTCTTTGAAAAGTGAAATCCCATTCTGGCCGATTGAATGAGTGAATGTAACACCTAACACCATTTACGCCACAGCAACCATAATTTCCGTTATCCATCATAAAAACAACTAACCTGTGTCAGATTTTGGGCCGTTTGTACCTAAACACATCTGCTCGCCTAGAATGCAACACTAAATGTGATCAAGAGTGTCATTACGTACGAGTATCCAGTATCCTTGTCTGGCGCTTGTATAGCCCGTCAAATCGTTCAATGATGAGAGACTTCTGAGGGTTTGAGTTAAAGTGAATGTCATAATCTTTTCTTCCTCATTTTGTACTTTTTTCAAAATAGCGTCCGCGTAACTGTAAGGCCTGCCTAACTGTAAGACATTGATGTTCAGCATTATACTTGCTGTCAATACTGTTCCGAGCATCAGCTGATGGCATAGGCTTGCGTGTGTTTGTGACTCCTACCATATAGATTCGGGCTGCGCAACAGGTACTGCGTTTACAGTACACATAGAAATCTGAAGTAGAAACTTCCATTTATCTACCGAATTCGCTAAGTTCACCGACTTAGGTACAAATTGCATGCTGATGTGATTAAATTAACGAGTGAGCAGTTCCGATGCGCAGTTTCATATGATACACGAATGGTACACGAATGGTGGCCGGATCGCCTCCGAGACCTTGCCAACCAATGCACTTGGGGAAGTATCAAAAGCCCGACAGCTTCCTGAATTATGAAGTTGATTTGGTAAATCCAGCAGTTCTACCATACCAACCCGTGTTAGTGTGCACATTTGATAATCTATTTGGACTGAACATCCATGAGAAAACCTACGCGTCAAAAAAAGGCGACATCTATTTCTGGGTCATCCAGCATCACGCTTACCTTTGTACAGAATACGAGAAATCATGCCGGGGAAGATGAGAAGCCATAATGGGAGCAGTTTGAGCAGCCCGGCCAGTAAACATCCTAGCTTGGCGTGTGTTAGATTCTTCGCAGACAGTGTACGCTGAACAATGACCTTATCGGAATAGTTAAATGGAAACAAATGTGCCGATTTAAGAAAGGGGAAAAATGAAGGGTTCAGTCTGACAACAACTTGTATAACGTTTTCATTTTGCCGACCATCGACTGGATTCAGAATCGCAGTTTCTGTTCATTTCAATACTGATAAAATATGGCATGACCTGACATCTTACGAACATTAAGCATGCCAGTATGGTTGCATGTGTATTACTATATCTAGATCGTCGAGATGTCTGCAACCAAACTGAAAGTATACAGTGTTACCTTTAAGTTGACCAGATTCATCAGCTTCAGAAATTGGATTTGATCTCACCACATGTAGGTTTCAACATTTCGAGTGTAGTTCTTTGTATTCGTCAGCCTGACAAATATCTTCCTTTTTCGACTTGACATCGTGTGATCAGGTGTTGAATGGTGCTTCCAGAGATTCAGTTCACAGCTACTGGAAAAACCTGCATCGATCGGGTGATCGACCGGACAGCTGTCTCCAGCTAAATTGTCCCCATAAGACGATTTCCCGTACCTCACCGACGGCTGCAGACCGGATAGGTACCCACTATAGCCTTTCTTGCTTACGGTTCGGAACACACTGATAACGGTAACGGCAGGTCGAACCTTGGAGTATAAATATTCTGATGGATCAGCAACTCAGAGAAAAGAGCGAAGAGCAGTCTGCATCGAACCTTTGTAGATAGTCAGTCGTGTGTACGATGAAGTAATCCACCCTCCGTGTTGACAAAATTGCGCATTAAACTGAATATGTGGGCCGAATTTACGTTCACTATATGTTTTACGCAGTTTTTGCGACTGAAAATTCCGTATACGATATAGGAAGGATAGCAAATGTCTCATTGTTCCACTGGCCGATTCCTTTAGCGTCTAAATGCAGACACAATAAAGTAGGGCGGGTCTCCCGCACATATTAGGTTGGGAGTTACATGTGCTGTTCTCACCTGACAAATTTTGATACATCCTAAGAAGTGGTCTGATCTGGAAGGTGCCCTTCCAAATGTGACAACTATGATTCGGAAAACCCAATATACGGGGATTTCATATGCGAAGCAATTTCGTCATGAATGGACCTCACTAACAATTGTGGCTGTGGTCACTCGCATGATGTTACGGTTAGCAAACACGAGGAGTTGACCTCATGAATTAACCACATTCAAAGAGCCAATTTGTAGTACATCCCCACCCTGTAAGTTTGAAGATTTTTTAGCTGTTAGTCTTCGACTTGGGCAGTCAGTCGCAACAGTGCCTATCTAGTGAGATTTAGTTGGAATCAATAGCTTCCTGCGTTCTGTAAAAAATAAAACATCATTTCGCATTAAGTGCCTATTACGTACGAGATCCTGGTCGGGGAAATTATCAGATCACAAAACTGACCAATCAAGTTAAGGCAAACTTGACGACCAAACCAATACCGGGTAGGAAATTATGGCGCATTCCAAAACTGCAGGGCATCTATTCAGCTGAAGAATAGATGATTCCATATATAACCAA